TAGCAGTTAAGTTCATGTGCTCTGCTTCGGTGGCCCAGGGTTTGCCAGTTCAGATCCTGGGCGTGGACCTACACGCTGCTCATCAAGCCATGCTGTGGCTGCATCCCACGTAGAAGAGCTAGAGGGACTTAGAACTAGGATATATAACTATGTGCTGGGGCTTTGGGGAGAAAACAAAAGAGGAAGATTGGCAACAGATGTTAGCTCAAGGCCAGTCTTCCTCACCAAAAAAACACCCAAAAACGTACCTTTTAAAATAACGTGTTTCTGAAGTCGTTATACATTCTCAAAATAGATGTCTCAATAATTTGATGGGGCTAAAGTTCTGAGAGAACAACAATTATTTATTTTGAGTTTTTAATTTGTAGGAAAAAAATTAAAGAGCTCAGGTCAGTTTTAAAGTGAGAACACTGGTTTTAATACATTGCTTTAACTATTTTCTCTAACATTATATTTAATTTTTTAATTAAATTTTATTTTTGGTTTGAATAGGCAGTATATTCACATGGTTCAAAAATCAAAGTAATATAAATATGCATTGAAAAGTTTGCTCTTACATTTGACCACCCTGTTTCCCCCCTCTTTCTGCATCCCATATAGGTAACTTAAGTTCATTAGTTTTTTGTATCTCTTTCCAAGATTTCTTTATGTAGATGTAATCATGTATGAATATGTGTTTTTATTCTTCCCTCTTGCTTACATCATGTACACTATTCCACATTTTGATTTTTTTCCCTCCTTTGAAAATGTACGCTTGATGTCTTCCCATATCAATATGTAGAGTTTTCTCATTATTTGTAGAACATAGTATTCCAGTGTGTAGATGGATACTTGGAATATTTCCAATCTTTTGTTATCATATGTTGCTGCAAATATAGATAAATACATACACGTTCATCTCACACACGTATTTGTACTCGACTCTTCTGGATTCTCCACTGGGGGCTTGTCTAGACAAAAGATAGATTAACAAGAGAAAAACAAGACAGAAGTTTATTAACACATGCATTGTGCTTACAGGTGGGAGCACTTGGTAATGAAATTGGTGCTAGAACATGGGCTTATATAGCATCTTAACAAAAGGAATGATGAAATTTTAGAGATGACACAAAACGAAAAAGACTGGTTTTCTTTGGTGTCAAATTGGGGGAAGGTAAATATGTGGTGGTGCTAATGGAAGATAAGGGCTAGTTAATAAAATTTATGTAGATTCCATTGGTGCTGCATGTGAGCTGATAAGGGTCTAGAGTTGTCTGTGGCCATTAACTTCTCTCCTTTCTGGTAGAGAGGGAAGGGAGGCACACCTTTGCAAATTTATGTCCTGCTTTTAGGCGAATGGTGGGTGGGGTGCAGAGAGCTTTTCTTGTTCTGCTGCTTAATGACCTTCAGCTTAAAATAATCCTTGTGGCAAAGTGGCATATTTTGGGGTGGCACATTCTGCTACCCTTCTGTACTTGGGTGCATCTGTAGGATAATTTCCTGGAAATGGAATTGCTAGGTCTGAAAGGTAAATGCGTATCTATTTTTAGGTATTGCCACATTCCTCTCCATAAGGTTGGTTCTGTTTTGTACTCCCGTTGTCAATATACAAGTGTGCCTTTTCCGCTAACAGATTGTTATCAAACTTTCAGATTTTTATTAGGTGAAAAATGTTATCTTGGTGTGTGTTTTTTTAATAAAGCATAGACTTTCAGAAAAATTAATCAACTATATTTTTTAGATTCACAGCAAAATTGAGCAGAAAATAGAGAGTTCTCATATACCCCACTCCCACACATGCACAGCTGCCTTTAACTGTGGGGACTGTCCACAGCCTTTAACACAGTGGTACATTTATCACCAAAATGAACCTACATTGGCACATCATCATTATACAAAGTCGGTGGTTTATGTTAGAGTTCACTCTTTGTGTTGAATATTCTGTGAGTTTTCACAAATGCATAATGATACGGAGTATTGTACAGAATACTAGTAATATCATGCAGAATAATTTTACTACCCTAAAAATCCTCTCTGCTTTACCTCTTCATCCCTCCTTCCCCCTAGTCCCCAGCAACTGCTAATATTTTTACTGTCCCCAAAGTTTTGCCTTTTCTAGAATGTCATATAGTTGGAATTAATAATACAATAAATATATAGCCTTTTCAGATTGGCTTCTTTCACTTAGTAATGTGCATTTAGGTTTCCTTTGTGCCTTTTTGTGGCTTGATAGCTCATTTCCTTTTAGTACTGAATAGTATTTCATCATCTGGATGTACCACAGTTTATCTAATCACCTACTGAAGGACATTTTGCTTCCAAGTTTTGGCAATTATGAATAAAGATGCTATGAATATCCGTATGCAGGTTTTTGTGTGGACAGAAGTTTTTAGCTCCTTTGGGTAAATACCAAGGAGAGTGGTTGCTGGATCATGTGATGAAAGTATGTTTAGTTTTGTAAGAGACTGACAAACTGTCTTCCAAAGTGACTGTACCATCTTGCATACCCAGCAGCAGTGAATGAGAGTTCCTGTTCCTCTGTATCCTCGCCAGCCTTTGGTGTTGTCAGTGTTTTGGGTTTTGGCCACGTTAATAGGTGTATAGTGGTTTCTTTTTTAATTTGTAGTTCCCTGATGACATAAAATGTAGAGCATCCTTTCATATACTTACTTTGCCATCTGTATGTCTTCCTTGTTGAGGTGTCTGTTGAGATCTTTTGCCTAATTTTTAATTGAGTGATTCATTTTCTTATTGTTGAGCTTGAGTTTTTTATATATTTTGGATAACAGTCCTTTATTAGATGTCTTTTGCAAGTATTTTCTCCTAGTCTGTGGCTTGTCTTCTCATTCTCTTGATAAATATAAACTTTTATAATTGAAGGTTAACCCATATATAAAAGTACACAAATTAAAAGTGTATGGCTTTATGATTTTTCTTAGTGAACATATTATTGGCTTCTCAGTATCGTTTGAATTTGCATTTCTGTCATCAGTTAAGTTGAACGTCTTTTCATATGATTAACGGCCATTTCTGTTTCTTTTTCTGAACTATCAGTTCACATCTTTTGCCCATTTTTCACTGAATTACTGTTCTTTTTTTTTTCTTTTCTAGTAAGTCTTTAAAAATTGGGAAAGTTACTTCTTTGCTTGAGATATGAGTAAAATTTTCCCCCTATTTTGTTATCAGCCTTTTTACTTTGCTTTTCGTTTGTTTTGCTGTAACAAATAATTGGAATTTTCTCAAATGGGTACATGGAATCTCTTCCTCTTTCCTCAGCACAGGACTTAGCTTAAGTGTCACTGTCTTCCAGAATTCTTCCTAGTACCTTTCAGGGTTTTAATAAGTATCTCTATTCCCATGTTGCCTTTTGTATATCTTTATGTTAGTGTTTAATCACAATCCTTATCTCTTTTTCTAAAGGCTATAAAATCCTTGAGGGCTAGAGCTCTGTTTTATTTATCTTTGTGTCTCTAGTGCTTGGAGCACAAGAGGTATACAGTAAATATTGGTATGAATGATTGTTTCTTGGATTTTTGGTGCCTTTGATTTTACAACCATTGCTATCTAATTTAAGTACTCTTCATTTGTTACTGTTGAACCAACCTGTCCTATTCTCTTGTCATCCTGTCATTTTCTGTTGTTTACCACATTTCCTTTGAAGATTGTCTTGGAGAATCATTGACTTATTTCTGGGGAGACAGTAGAGCTTTTGTGTGTTTTACTTCTTTCTTCATAATTAAGATTTATGGGAATATTTTGATGTAAACAAATGATGTCATACTTCGAGGGCCTTTTGGGGGGTGACAATGTGTTATATCTTGTTTTCCTTTTTTGTTTTCGTATGTTTCTACAATTTTATAAAAACATATACACAAAATATATACAGAAAGTGAGATATTAGTATAATGAACTTCCACGTACTGTTTACTAGCTTCATGTCTTATTAACTCACAGTACTTTAAGGTAAGTACTTAAAATAACATATTATTAGAGTTGACAGATTCCTAGAAGCTATCTAGGGCTAGCCTCACATCCCAAAATTCAGGATAGAATTTGAATTTCTCTACATAGAAAGCTAAACCTCCTTGATGCAGTCCATTTCATTATTGAACAGCTGCGTTTGTACATTGAGCTAAAATGTGCTTCTGAAGAAACCCTGATTGATTCAGTGTCGTCTTCAACATGAGGCTCTCAATTTATTGAAGACAGAAATTATAGCTTTCTTATTAAGCTAAAAATGTTAATTTTAAACGACATCTTAAAAAAAACTTATAGTGGTACTAGGAAAAATCTGATAAACGTTATATCTTAAGGAGACTAAGGAAACAATTTCACATTCTTTACTGATTTGTCACTGGTTACTGACAATCTTATGAAGAGCCAATATTTTAAATTAATTTCTGGTTAAAACTTGAATATGTTTTAACCACATATAGAGTTTTTATATCTTTGATGTTAAAATGGCAGTCCATAAACTGAAACCTATTCGTTATGGTCACATTGCCTTTCAGTTCTCTCCTCAGCATATCTAGTAGATACTTTACTTATGAGATATGTAAAGAATTTGCTGTCAGAAATTGCCAGTTCAGATTATTTCATTAATTTCAAAATTACTCCATGGTAGTATCTATACAGTAGTATGTGTGTCAATTATGATTTTATTAAAAAACGAACAGCCCAGGTTAAGTGATTCCGTTTTAGCTTGACTCCTCTCTTTTATTGGTAGTGGCTTTGAATGAAGAGCATTTTCTGAGAGAATCTTTATAAACCTTTAACTTCTTCCCCCAAATGTTCAAGTCACTTAATATTCTGAGTTGATTATGCCCTGTGATGTATATCTCTATTTACCACAGTGAGAATGTTGTATGGAACATATTTGTTAGATTTTTCTAAATAACTGAAGTTATACTTAGTCTGTATTTCAGCACTTCTGTACCTTTTTTGTACAAGATAAGACTGTGTTTTATTCTCATCGTGAGTTCAAAACTAGAATGTAATGTGTCTCTTCTTGATTTCTGTAGAGCAGGTTGTTGCCCTGGATGCCCAAAATATCGTAGCTGTTTCATGTGGAGAAGCTCATACATTAGCACTAAATGACAAGGGCCAGGTGTATGCCTGGGGTCTCGATTCTGATGGACAACTTGGCCTGCTAGGATCAGAGGAATGTATCAGAGTACCCAGGTAACAAAAGTGACCAAAAAGAGGTCTTTAACAATCTTTTATAATAAATTTATCTAAATTATTGTTTACTGTGGGCATGTAAGAGTTGACACCTAATTATTTCTCCCCTTAGAGTTCCTAAGGAGTTTACTAGGTAGATTCTTGCCTTTAATTTGGGTTGAGTGCTATTTTTTGTATACTTCATATTTTCCCCCAAATTATTTATGTTTGTAAAGGAAAACGATGAAGAATATGTACTTTATGTTTTTTCTTACTAAAATTTTTAAGTGGGTTAGACTAATTTAAACTAATTCTCTTAAGTACCCCAGCTATTGAAATATGTATTAAATGTTGGTTGGTTGCGTGTTTCTCTGTCTCGTTTTAGTTTTTATTGAATATATAAGTCCCACATAGTTAGTGTAAAAAGAATTCAGTCTCTTTCCACTTTTTTACATAGAACCATGATTTAATTTACATTAACCACTAATTCATCATAGAGTTATTTCAAATTAAAAATAAACTATGTCTCATCGATGTTGTAGTCTTACAGATTTACATCAGGCGTAACCATTGTTTTAATATTAAAAACTATAAGAGCATGAACATATCTAGGTAAAAATATAGAGATTTAAAGAAAAGTATTCATTTTCTTTTGGATACATAAACTCATGCTTAGTTTTTAGAATTATACAAATTCTTGCCTCCTTAAACTCTTGTTCTTTCTTCTTAGTAATAGCTGTAGAGACAAAAGAGAACTCTCCAGGGAGCCAAGATCTTAAACTAATTTTAGATTTATTCCAGGTAGCATTTTCTTTTTACTCACATTTAGATATTTTGTTTTTAGTTTAACATTGATAATGTTTGTTTTGGTTTAAATAATAGGATGTAACTACGAGGATAAGAAAATGGAGCACAAGAACTAATATATTTCAGAATAGGAACTCTAATCGTTGTTAGAAATGAGTTTTTTTTGACCAAGAAAGGTAGCTAGTTCTTTCAGTAAGCCTCTAACCTTTCCCCCAGATGTATATGTTTATTGAAAAACTTAAAGTATACGTTTAAAGTATTTGCTTTGTTTCAACATTTCAAAAGTTTTTTTGATCTTTTAGTTTGACATTTTATATTTGTTCTAGTAATGAACTGTTTGTAGAGACTTGGATATATCACATTCATATGTTTTCTTTGTTGAACTTGTAATTCAATTCCACAAAACTCCCCAAATTTCCTCCCCCTTGTTTCTTCTGAGACAACAGGCAAACACAATTCCCCTTATGTTTTTAATGTCTCTTAATGATGGTGCTGTTGGGAGAAAATTTTTCTTCCTTAGGTTAAGTAAATAGAAATTTTTTAGTCATTTCAATTTTGATTTCTTTCAGAAAATGATAATTTGCAACCAAATGGTTATTGGCTAGATAATACAAAGGATTCCTTGAAACATAGTTACCTCACATTTGTAATGTCCTCTACTGCTTTTATTTACTCCCAGAAGTAATTGTTGTAGAATGGGATTTTTTTTTTTAAATTAAGGTTATGAAAGTTAACATCCTTGTGAAATTGCAGTTGTACATCGTTATTAGTCATGTTGTAGATACACCGCTTCACCCCTAGTGCCCTCCCCCCACCCCCTTTCCCCTGGCAACCACCGATCAGTTCTCTTTGTCCATATGTTAACTACCACCTAGGAGTGGAGTCATACAGAGTTCGTCTTTCTCTGTCTGGCTAGAACGGGATTTTTAATTTAAGATTTAAAAAATTTTGTGTTTTTAGGATTGAAAAGGGTTTTCTAAATCAATATTCTCAAAACCATGATTCATGGCAAAGCTTTCTAGTTTTCCTTATTTTTACTCCCTGGTCTCTTAATTCTCATACTTAGATTTTTGTTGCTGTTCACTTCTGGCATAAGAGATTTCAGTCAGTAATCTATAGATAATTAGTAAATGGAAAGAAAGGTAATTTATAGGGAGAAAATTTTGTTATATGACAATTTATTTAAGGTTGCTTAATAATAAATTATGTATTTGTGACTTTACTATTTTGTGAACCTGGATGGGGACCTGAAAGAGATCTTACTTGAGTCCTCTGGTTTAAACTTCTCTGTTTTTTGTATTGCCAAACATCTAAATTAACTTTAAGCTGTGTGTTAAGGCATTTCTTCTGTTCAACCTTCTTAGTTTTTCAGGGACTGAGCTGATTGTTGTGACATAGTCCTTACTCACTTTTTAAAAATGTTTTAAAGAGCAATTTGGTATTTCAGTAGAAATATATTTTTATGAAAGACTGCCAGTGATTTTTTTCATTTTTAAAGTGTCAGTACCAAATCATTTTCTGGATACAAGGCTTTTCCTAGATGTTTAGAGCTGTTAGCCAGCTTTGTAAATTTCACACACATTTTGAGTAAAATGTATAGAAAACAGGAGGAAATTCAAATATATGTCAATACGTTTTTTAAAATTAGTGTTTATGATTTTCATAAGTGTTCAGAAAATCAAGAATCACATTATGCCAAACTTTCTTGAGAACAAAATACACTTTTATGCCAATAGGTGTAAATTAAGCAACACTTTAAAATTAAAGAATATAAAATTAATAATAGATTATATTTGAAATTCTTACTAGCTTGATAATCTTTTCTTCTGATTTTGTTTTGAAATCGCTACTTCTTGGGGAAAGACAAATTATTCAATATCAGTGGTCTCTGTAGACCTGCATTTCTGGCTAGTTACTTCTTTTTATGTAGGATGTGTGTTATACTTTTATTAAAACAAGAGTTAAGCCTAATTTTACTATCTTTTAGTTTAAGTGGAAATACGTACTTTTCCCACACAAAATTTAGAAAAAAATTGTTGGCAATGAAGTTGTAGTTTACTTTTTAAAGTTCTGTTTTTTGGACATAAAATTAACAATTATGACAAGATGGTTTAATATGATGATCCTTGTGAAGAACAGCTATTTCTGGGCTACAGAAACTAATTAAACATATTTGAATTGTCAGCTTGATCAAAAGTAAAACTTATTTTCTTGATTTTACTCAGTTTTAAGCATATTATAATTTTTGCCTAATATTAGCATCAGAAAGTTAAGAACATTTTAGAATAAAAAGAAAAATTATAGAGTATTTCTTAATAGTTGAGACTAGATTCGTTGTTAGCCTAAATTTTTTAAAATTGGAAAAAGAGTTGGTGCTAAGACTTTTCTCAAATCACTAAGAAAGTTGTGGCTTAACTGGGAAATAGAAAATTGTTAATTATGTTTTATCATCAAAATATATTTTTAAAACCTCTTAAGTATGGTTGACATACAGAAAGCTGTACCTATTTAATGTATACACTTTGATGAGTTTGAAATTGGCAAATATTTAATGCTTTAGTTCTTCAATTTATTTATTTTTTTGGTGAAGAAGATTGGCCCTGAGCTAATATCTGTGCCAATCTTCCTCTATTTTTTTTAATGTGGGATGCCACCACAGTGTGGCTTGATGAGCTGTGCTAGGTCCGACTCAAGATCTGAACCCGCAAACTCCCAGCAGCTGAAGCTGAGCACACAAACTTAGCTACTGTGCCAGCCTGATAGTTCTTCAGATTTTTAATTATATAATGTAGACTTTTCACTAGTCTTTAACAGTTGGGATTTTACCTTTTCAAACAGCTGGAAATGCCTAGTTTCTGCCTGTATTGCTCCTGTACATTAAGTTGGAAAAATACAACAGTATAGAGTATACATATTCAACAATTAATACGTTTTGGCAGACTTCCCAAGGGAGGAAAGTATAAATCTTATTTTGAAGTTTATTACCTGTTTTCTTAGGAATTTCGAACATCTTTCAAAATTCAATAAAGAAGTGATTCTTTTCTTTGCAATGAATTATTTTAGTGATGTCATAGCCATTTAAAATGTTTGACGTGCTCTAACCTTTAGGGATTTATTTTAAATTTATACACGGTTATAAAGTATTTACCATAGATGTCTGAATTCTGATTTTCTTTTTGTAGTTCTTATTAATTAGCAATCTTCATGGGATGTGTATGTATGTATCTCTGTATTTTTTGTTTACAGGATTATACTGCCTTATTTTACTTTTCTGTTAATTGTACTTGAATCCTTTTAAAAATTGAAAACAGTTAAACATTTACATTGTCTTTTTTACTTAAAAAAGGGGCTTTACTTTTGATGAATTCTGTAGAATTTTATTTCATTAAGAATTTTTTAATTTGTTATCTCTTGAGGAAAAATTGAACATGAGAAACAAATTTGGTAAATTAAGTTTTAACCATATGCAGTATTTTTCTTTATTTTTTTATTCCTGAAAGCTAAAAAAGAAAAAAAAAAAACCCCAACAACTAAGCATATCCTCTCCTTTCTACCCCCACACCATCTTCCGTGTATTAATAAATCTACATGGAGATGAAGGCGTTTTTTGTTTTTTTCTCTTTAAAACAGTAATGTCACAGAAGACTATCTTTTCTTGTCCCTGTAGCAGACATGGCTAAAGAAATTAGCTTTTATGTTATATTCCAAGCCTTATGATATTATTTTGGAAATGAGAGTCACCGAATGTACATTGCTGTGCAAATTTAGAAGTTTTTTTGGGCAAACTTTATGAATAGTTTAATACTAAAGTCTCAAAGACTTTACAAATTCACTTATCCTTTAACAGTGTATTATTCATTACCTACTTTTTGCCAGGCACACAGTATGTGCTAGAGATTCCATGGGTATAAAACACATAGTCCACCTTCAAAGAGCTTATCGTTTAGCAGAGTATGCTAGTAATAATTAAATGGATAAGTATATCAGCAATTCATCATGATAAATGATATGAAGGAAAAAACATAGGGTACTATGAGAATGTAGTATTTTGAAATGTTTTACTTGGTCTTGGAAATTGGACTTTATACCTGGAACAGCTGGTTTTTAAAAATATTTAATATAGTTCACTGGTTAGTGTCTGATGTGCCTAAAATGAATAAACAGTAACAGTAATTGTTTAGTAACTTCAGCACCATTGTACATATCCAGGTATTTTTTATTTCTGTTTCTGCATTGCCAGTGTTTGATTTTGCTAATTGCAGAAAAATGGCATTATTCTACATTTGAAAATCTGAAGGTGCATTGGATCCTGCTTACTTGTTGGATTCTGCTAACTTGTAGCAGTACAACTCTCAGGTCTTGTAGTTAAGAACATAAATCCACTAAATAAAAATATTTTTAATACAACAGTATGGAATTAGAGTAACTCTCCTTTCTCCTGCTCAAAATTTGATTTGCTGAAGCTGCCTCCTGAAAATCATGAGTATCGACACACTGGTCAGGACTTGCTCCGGAATCTCATATGGCAGAATCAGGTCAGGTGACAGTATCAGGTAAAGGGAAATAAGAAACATATTATGCTTCATCTCCGCTTTTTTTTCCTTGAAAATATTCATTCAGGAAAAACAGAATGACGAGGTAAAGGGGAACTACGTAAGAAAAACCTGGGATGGTTGGTACACAAAGTTAATTGATTTTTATAATGTTTTAAAAATTAGCCTTTAGAATTACATTGCCATTTAGGAAAAATCAGAAATGGGGGGAAAAAGAAACTATAAAAATATATGGGAAAAACACAAGATGGCAGAAATGTGACTGAACACATCAGTGATCATAATAAACATGAATTGATTAAATTTCCCTAGTAAAGAATTAAATTGAGTATCACTGATTTAGAAGTAAAGTAAAAAGATAGCCCAAAAGGAATAATAGGTTTCATAATTCGTGAATTCATAGCACCACATGATAGGAATCTCTGTTGGTTCTTAAGGAACCTGATATAGGAGAACATATATTCAACTAGGCCAAACACTAATTTTTGACAAATTAGATCTTGTACATTTGTTTTTACAAATATATTGGTAAATTTCCTACTTGAAGCGTAAGATTTTTAAAAAAATTTTGATAAAACATCTGAATTATAAAAGCACTCTGAGTAGTAGTTGACTTGTGAGCATAGTTTACTTAGCTTAAATATTGTTGTTTAAATTGTTTTTTCATCACACCTCTTAATTTTTGTCATATTTAGATTTTGTTTACTGAGTTTAGCATAAATATTTGGTAAATTGGGCTTTTGGAATAAACAGCATGAACTGCTAGGTTAGTAGGAAACTACTTGCATGTAGTAGGTGATCAATAAATAGCATAAATAAGTAGCATTCAGGATCCATTTATTAAATGGGATAATCTGATCCTGATCTCTCTTCTTATTTTCTAGAAATATTAAAAGTTTGTCAGATATCCAGATAGTACAGGTTGCTTGCGGTTACTATCATTCTCTTGCACTTTCTAAAGGTAAGCATTACTTTTATTATCTTTCCGTTTTTCAGTTTTATTACTTGATAATTTAACTGAGCAGAAAGTCCTCCAACTTTCTCCTTATTCACACTTGTCCTTGTTCTTGATCCTTTTCAATTCCATATATATAGTAGAACTAGCTTGTCAGTTTTCACAGACCTACAAAGAAACTATTGGGATTTTGATTGGGATTGCATTGTCTGTATAAATCAATTTGAGGAAAATCTTTACAATATTGAGTCTTAATTTTTGAACATGCTGTATCCCTTACACCCCTTTTATTAGATTTTCACCTATATATTTGATATTTTTTGTTATTGTGCATGGTGTCATTTTCAAATTGTTTATTTCTAGGATATAGACATGAAATTTTTGTTCTAATTGTTCTTTAGTCGGCTAAACGCTATTCCTTCATAGCTAGGAAAGGTTATAACTTGCCCAATCTGATTTGATCTCACAGATGAACTTTTTATGAATAAAAACAGAGAAGAAGCCTGGGCCTCCTATGAGCTTTGTTTGCTTTTCTTTCCTATTCATTTAACAACTTCTTAGGCCAGCCAAGGATTGTACATTGGGTTAGTAAAGAATCTGCCATATGTTTGTTTTTTGTAATTAAAAAAAATAAGTTCCAGTGGCTTCATTATTATTATTATTTTTAAATTTATTAAATGTCTAGTGAGGTCTACTGTGAATGAAGCACTAGGCTAGAGCTGTGGGGAAATACAGATAAGAGAGAGTTCTAGGGACCATACCATCTAGTGGAAGAGACACATATACAAATCAATAACTAGAGTTTGAGACAGAAAAACTTACTTACTGGTTTGGTCAAGGTAAAAATAAAATGCTATGTCAATGAAGGAAAAGGTTTAATTATAGTCATGTGTCACTTAACGGTGGGGATATGTTCTGAGAAATGCATTGTTAGGCAATTTCGTCATTGTGCGAGCATCATAGAGTGTACTGAAGGGGAACAAAATTTGCCATCCCAAAATGTGTCTCTTTAACATGAGGATTATTTTAGGCTGATTATTTTTAAGAAATAAAAGACTCAAAGTTTTTCTTGTTACTTCCCCCTTAACTGCCTAAAAGAATTCAGATTAAAAAATCTGTCTCGGGAAGCGAGCTATCACCTTAGCATAGTGTGAACTAGGTGGTAGACAGGGAGGAACCTAGAAAAGCCTGTTTCTTGGGCTTCCCTCTGTGTTCTTCTGTTTCTTTGTGGCCAAACACTTGTTTTCCAAACATCTGCTCCTTTTCACCTCCCTGTGAATTCTTTACCTTCCTTATGAAGTCCTGACTCTCCCACCTCCAACATCATCCTCTTTCATCTTTAGCTGAGGATGGTCTTTAAGGTGAGAGTTTTGGCCATTTTGGAGAGTTACTTGGTTTTCCTCCATTCCTCCCCTGTATACATGTTACTAAACTTTTGTTTGTTTTTCTCCTGTTAATCTGTCTCATGTCGATTTATTTCTTAGACCCTCCAGAAGAACCTAAAGTGTGGAGGAAAATTTCTTCCTCCCATGTAGTACTTACACAAACCTAGATGGTATATAGCCTTCTACTCATCTAGGCTACAGGGTACTAATCTTATGGGACCACTGTCATATGTATATGTGGTCTGTTGTTGACTGAATATTATGCTGCATGTGACTGTAGTTCCAATCCATAGAATTGGTAACAAAAAGGAAGGAATTGGTATTTGATATAAGTCTTAAAAGATGAGTAGAATTTATTCAGAATTGAAGAAATGTTGAGCAGTAGCTAGGGAATTGTTGAGGATGGGCTCAGGTGATAGTACATACTAGTAAAGGCATAGAATCAGGCAAAGGTATTTTATGTATTTGAGTATCAGCATGTAGCTTTATGTGGGTGTTGTGAGAGCATGGGAGACATATTTCAGTTGAGGCTGAAGTAAAAGCAGAAATCTGTTACATTGGACCTTGAATGCCATATTAAGGACTTTGGATTTCTATAGGCAGTCGGGAAGCTGGCATCCCTGTATTCTTTATTGTTACTTTGCCAGCTTCTCTTGATATTTTGGTGGGTAGATCCAAGATAAATTTAAACCCGAAAGTTTTACTGATAGGACAGTTTTCTGTCTTGACTTACAGGTATTCTTTTGCCGTGTTGAGCTTCATGCTTTAGCGATAGCTAATGAAGTTTTTTGATCACTTAGTATGAACTAGGCACATTAAGATCTACAATGCACAGCGGTAAGCATAACGCCACTAGCCCTTATGGTGCAGTCACATAAATAAAAATATAAATGCATACTATGAAAAAGGACTGTAAAAAAAGAAAGTTAGGATATTTAGAACATATAATGGGGGGATGAACTTAATCTGGGAAATCAAGGAAGGCTTCCTGCTGGGAGAGAGTAGAAGTAAATAGACAAAGATGAGGGGAAGGTTTAGGCAGAGGGAACAGCAATGTGTGAGAAGTAGGCGTTGAAGAATGTAAGGGGAGATGAGTATGGCTAGAGTATAGTGAGTAAGAGAAGAGACTGGTATTAAATGAAGGTAGATCATATAGAGCCTTATAGGCTTTGTTAAAAGTGTTTATCCCAAGAGCAGTGAGAAGGCACATATTTTTTTCAGGTGAGCAACATTATCAAATCTGCATTTTTATAATATCTGTATGTATATGTACAAATGTCTGCTAGTATGTGCATAAAGTATTTCTGGAAGTACATATTAGTAACTGGTAAGAGTGGTTATCTCTTGGGAGAGGAACCAGGGATCTAATTTTGGAGGGAAACCTACTTTTAAGTGTGCACTATTTTGTAGTATAAATTTTAAAAAATTAGTTATTAGTGTGTCAGTTATTAGTTTAGTGCCAACTTATTTAATATATCTAAAGTTGTGAAATAAGATGGCAGTGGGGAGCAAAAGTGACAAGCAAAAAAACGATTGTAGGAACCAAGTGAGATGGTAAGGAGTGAATCTATTTGCCATATTTTTCTTTAGGAAGAGAACTGTATACAACCAGAGGCACTCACAGCTAGAATATACAACTATGTACTGGGGGGCTTTGGTAAGAAAAAAAGAAAAAGAAGATTGACAACAGTTGTTAGCTCAGGTGCCAATCTTTATTAAAAAAAAAAAGAGAGAACTGTATATAACTTGGTGATGGAGTGATACCATCTTGTGTATAAGGTACGAGAGGAGAGGAGTATTAAGGATGATTCCCTATGTTTATGAATTGTGCTACCGAATCAGTTATGATGTCATTTTACTGAGATGAGGAACACTGGGAAGAAAGAGGTCCAGCACATGAGAGATTGGATGGACATCGTGAATTGAGTTTGGGGCATGCTGAACTGAAAGTAGCTTTGAAATATTCAGGTTTAGATGTCAGATAAACAGTTGGATATGTGGGTTTATTGCTCAGAGGAGATGTATGCGGTAGTGAAAAAATTTTGAATGTGATCAGCATATAATTAATATCAAGCCTTGAGCTTGGATAAGTGCCTCTTGGGAGAAATCACAGGAATAAAAGTGAGACCTGAGGAATATTAAAAAGAGAGGGTGCTTTCTTAAGAAGTATAAGGAAATGCGACTTATTCATCAGTAAAGTCAGTCAAACTTAAAGTGTACTAATACAGAAAGTGTTCTAGGTAGTATTATGTCTCCATATAAGACATAAACTTAATAAAGAGGAATATATATTTCCATCTGATGAGAGGAAGAACATCCCAAAATAGCTGATAATCTTCAAATGAAATTTTTTGTGTGGGAGAAAAATAGTTAATTTTATGATTTTTGTTTTGCAGCAAGTGAAGTCTTCTGTTGGGGACAGAATAAATATGGCCAATTGGGTTTAGGCATTGACTATAAAAAGCAAGCTTCACCACAGCTGATTAAGTCTTTGCTTGGAATCCCTTTCATGCAAGTTGCAGCAGGAGGAGCCCATAGTTTTGTACTCACCCTTTCTGGAGCTATCTTTGGATGGGGACGCAACAAATTTGGTCAACTAGGTCTTAATGATGAAAATGGTAGGTTCTCATTATTTGTAGATAAATGTATTTCTAAAAAGAGATGATCTTTTGAGATGGATCAGTGATTCTTAGTGTCAGAGAGAAACTTACCCAGATCTTTCCTAATATGGAGGTGGGGATGAGAGGTTAATTTACAAATTTCATTCGATAATAATATTTTTAGGGCATGTTGGGAAGGCCAAAAAACCAAAAAATATCATTTTATCATTAAGTAACTATAGAAAGTGTATCTGGACAAAAATTTTTGTTGTTCAGTGTTCATTAAAAGAAAGTTGAGAAACGTTTCTTCAAGTTGGTAACCACGTTACTGGCTACGATCGGTGAAAAGAAGCTTTAAAGTTATTCTGGAAAGTAATGGGAAGCATTAATCTATTTGAGTTTTTTAAGGAAATATTTAGATAATCTGTCATAAATTAATCTTTAGTTTGGGCTTCACATTTGACATGGATGCTAGATCATTTAAAAATAAACACTTTGAATTAAAAAAATTATAACCACTTGAAACAAGTTGGGATCTTGGAACCAATTTTTCATAACTACATTAGGTCGAATGCCAATATTTGAAATACAAAAACTAATTTCATAAAGTTCAGCATAATTGTAATGACTTAAATGAACAAAAGTGAGTTGTTCATCTAGTAACAACTGGTTGTGATAGCAGAGAATGCTCTCAGAAAGAATTTTAAAATATTTTTTGCATGAGAAAAATGTGTCAGATTAGAACATTATGTATCTTTTCTGCTACAAAATAACAAAATTATACTTAATTTTCCAGCTTTTAAGTGGGGTCCTATCAGCTTAGTTATCATGAGGTAAATATAAAGAATGTTGTGTACATATTAGAAGCAGTCAAATAGTTTTGAAATTCCTTCATTGCTGAGATCTGTGCAGATTGGTGTTTAGACAATTTAATATTTAAATTACTCTTTTTAAATCCCTCCTTTATCACAGTAGCATGAATAGAAAGGCCTGGGAGTCCAACTTTTAGTAGACTTATATCACAAAATCATTGAATTATAGTTAAAATTAGTTAGTCATCATTGTCTGCTGAAGCTGTAGAGGAAACACGTTTTAGAAGAGTTTTAATTTTAAAAATACTGTTAACATCTCTTGTTGGAATTTTCAGATAGGTATTTTCCTAATTTACTAAAGTCACTAAGAACTCAGAAAATAGTTTATATTTGTTGTGGAGAAGATCATACTGCTGCACTAACCAAGGTATTGTACTCCTATAAAACTTCTTTACTATTACTCATGATAGTTATTTCATAATTAGTGAATGTTTTCATGATATTTACATTGAAACATGCGTGTTATTGATATCAAAAAAATAATTTGTCTTGGAAAAAGGACCTAGATGATTATTTGTTCTCAAAAGCAATTTACTTTAATTTTCAACTTCATTTTGTTACGAAGTGTGAATTGTGATCTGCTATTAAATGTGATGATAATATATTTTGTCGAGTGTCTCAGCTTCGTGTGAAATACTGCCTAAATAATATTTTGAATGAAATAATTCCTTTTCAGTTTGCCAGGGCTGCTATGCTGTGTATATCAGTCCCATTTATATCGCTCTGCCTAATTTTAATTTAACTCCCATTTAGCTTATAAGTGTTGTATAAAAAGTAATAAAGGAGACTAAATCTCTCTATTATCCATAGGCCAAGTATTATGCAAGCAGTTATAATGAGCTTTCATCACAGTCTTGTTAATGGCTTTAACTCTGACCTCTCACTTCTTTGAGTATGTGCCAACTCGGTTTCAGTACTGTGTAGTTCTCTGGCAATTAGAAGTAAAATGAAAATAAAAACGTTAAACTAATCTTTACCAGGAATAATATTTATTATAGTCATGTTAACGTAAAGGAACTGGCAAATTTTCATTGGCTAAATTAGAAATTAATGTTTTTTGCTTTTTTTATCTTTGGTCCTACATAGTAGATAAAATTGGCAAGAAAAAAATTAACTTCTGATCACTTTGTAAAATTCTACACACTTACTCCCACATTGAGAATTTTAGGATGATAAGAATTATTCTTAGTCATTATCAAATATAGTGTACTCAAGGTATTTTTAAAACTATAATGACCAATTGTAAAAGTTAATTTTTAAAAATTTTTATTACTTGCCTTTTAGTAAGGAAGTTTTACTGTAATTGCCAATCTTATTACCATATTTTATTGATTTTTATCATTCAGATTACAAATGTAATCACTAAAATCTTATTTAATCATATTGGAAAGATGGAAATTTTCGTCATTCTCTTTCATTGGTATTTGGAAGAAATAAGGCTGTGCTGAAATAATAGTAAAAAATGTTTTGTATTTTAATTTTTAGGACTAGCTTTGTGGTAGAAAGACTCACAATGTTAATGGTTTTCAAATTCAGCCTTTCAAATAACCACTCATCTTATTTTCCCTTGATATGTAACTATATCTATTGAGTTTTTAAAAACGCTAATTCTATTAATTGTCTGTATTCCTCTCTCATTAGCTTATGATACTTGTTCACTGGAATTTTTGGTGTAATTATTTTTTTTAATTTTATTTATTTATTTATTTATTTAAAGATTTTATTTTTTTTTCATTTTTCTCCCCAAAGCCCCCCAGTACCTAGTTGTATACTCTTCCTTGTGGGTCCTTCTAGTTGTGGCATATGGGACACTGCCTCAGCGTGGTTTGATGAGCAGTGCCATGTCCGCGCCCAGGATTCGAACCAACAAAACACTGGGCCGCCTGCAGTGGAGCGCGCGAACTTAACCACTCGGCCACGGGGCCAGCCCTGGTGTAATTTATTTTTAACAAAATTAGTTTTAAATATCCCCAGAGTAAAATGTTTTATTTTTCCTTGATTTAAGTTAGAATATCGTTCCGTATCCACATATCTTTTGCTTTCCTTGAAGAATTTCTTGCATATAAATTAGGATTGCTTAACAAAGCAATTTTCCTTGTACAAAACCTACATTAGGAAAATGACATTAGGAAAAATTTTAAAATAGACTTTTAAAAACAATAGAAAGACATGCATGTTCGTGGATATGAGGACACTACCACAAAGATGTCAAATTTTTTCAAGTTCATTTACAAATTCACTATGCAAATTACATATATATATTCCTTTTGACTTAGCAATCACGCTTTTAAGAATCTATCCCGATGATAGGAAATTATGTATGCAGAAGGTCATTTATTATGGCATTATTTTAATAGCAATAGAATGGAAGAAATCCAAATGTCCCTCAGTAGTAGCCTGGTTGAATAAACTCTGGTGACTCCATGCACTGGAGTATCATGACATGTAAAACAGAATGAGGAAGATCTCTATATTATGCTGTGGAATGATCTTCAGGATGTATTGTTAAGTAAAAAGAGGAAGGTACAAAGTAGTTACCTTTTGTTTAAGAAAGGGTAAAATATGAAGGTATTACATATTATTTGTATTAAAAAAATTAATAGCTATGCTAAATATGACGTTCCTTATAGTTTGTACTTGGGAACCTAGAAACTGTGACACATAATTAGAAAGCAAACATATATGCATATTTCTGTTTTTTAAAAGTAGTTCTTAAAAATTAAAAACAAAAACCTAGTGGCACAACTGCAGAAAGAAGAATTCTTTAGATCATTTAAAAATACGGTATTTTCTTGCGTATCACTAGTGGGAAATAGCCTAAGGATAAATTGAATTCACAAAGAAAGCTTAAACTGCATTCTGTAGTCTTATTATTAGTAGTAAAATTGGTAGTGTTGTTTTCAATATATTACATTTAGAGTAGGATAAAGCAAAAAGTACTTTACTGTCATTAGAAACTGCACCTTTCAACTTAAGAGACAAGAGATATAAAATGGTAGGAATTAAATTAAAACCCTGTGGATCTTTACTTTGAATCACAAGTGTCAATATGAACTCTCATTTTTCCCTTCTAAAAATACAGTCATGTGCCGTATAATGATGTTTCACACATAATAGGGGTGGTCCCATAAGATTAGTACCATATAGCCTCGGTGTGTAGGAGGCTATAACATCTAGGTTTGTGTAAGTACATTCTATGATGTTTGCACAATGATGAAATCGCCTAACGACACATTTATCAGAAAGTGTCTGCATCGTTAAGTGACGCATGACTGTGTGTGTTTTTTTTTTTTTTGCCATGGCCACTGAAAGGTCCTATAAGTAATTAACCACGTGCAATTTGGAAGCAATGAACATCCTTTGATGTAGACTGTACTAAAAGGAACCAGGGCTTCTTAGAGAAGAGGCTGATCCCATATAAGTATAGCCTTGGGCATTTTATGTTAGAAAAAAGCAAAGACACCAAACTCATGTCAGAAGGACAAGTTGAAGGAGCTTTCACTGGTTAACAAAAAGAAATAATTACTGCAATAAATGGAAATATATGAAATATATAAAGATCCATGACTTCATAATGATACTCCTCTTCTCCAAATCAATCCAAAGCAAACTTCATTGCTTATCTTTGGAGGTTGCTAGGAGAACAACTCATTTTTCTAAAAATTAGTAAATGAGAAAGAAGCATTTCTCCCTAGGATGCAAGGATGATACAACATCTGCAAATCAGTGAGTGTGATATACTACATTAACAGAATGAAGGATAAAAATCATATGATCATTTCAATAGATATAAGAAAAGCATTTGACAAAATTCAACCTTCTTTCATGATAAAATTTTCAACAAATTAAGTGTAGAAGGAATGTACCTCAGCATAAGAAAGGCCACATATGACAAGCCCACAGCTAACATTGTACTCATGATAGTTTTTTTTCTTTTCTTTTCTTTTTTGTTTGGTGAGGAAGATTAGCCCTGAGATAACATCTGTGCCATTCTTCTTCCACTTTATGTGCGGATTGCCACCACAGCATGGCTGATAAGTGGTGTAGGTCTGTGCCTGGGATCCGAACCTGCTGCCAAAGTGGAGAATGCTGAACTTAACCACTATGCCATGGGGCTGGCCCCTGAAAGCTTTTCTTTTAATATCTGGAATAATACAAGGATGTCCACTCTTACCACTTGTATTCAAGATAGTACTGGAAATCCTAACCAGAGCAGTTAGGCAAGAGAAAGAAACAAAACTCATCCAAATTAGAAAGGAAGAAGTAAAATTGTCTCTGTTTGTAGATGACATAATATTAAATATAGAAAACCCTAAAGACCCCACCAAAAAACTGTTAGAAGTAATAGATGAATTCAGTGAAGTTGCTGGGTACAAAAATCAACATACAAATATCGATTATGTTTCTATAGACTAAGAACAAACTATCCAAAAGAGAAATTAATAAAGCAGTCCCATTTACAATAGCGTCAAAAACAACAAAACACTTAGGAATAAATTTAACCAAGGAGGTGAAAAACTTGTACACTGAAAACTGTATAAGACATAAATGAAACAAATTGAAGAAGACACAAATAAATAGATGTCTCATGTTTTTGGATTGGAAGAACTAATGTTGTTAAAGTGTCCATACTAAAAGGGATCTACAGATTAAGTGCAATCCCTATTAAATTTCAGTGGCATTTTTCACAGAAATAGAACAGACAATCCTAAAATTTGTGTGGAATCACAAAAGACTCAGAATAGCCAAAGCAATTTTGAGAAAGAACAACAAAGCTGGAGGTATCATGCTTCCTGATTTCAAACTATTTTACAAAGCTATAGTAATCAAAACAGTATGGTACTGGCATAAAAACAGACACGTAAACAGTTAAACAGAATAGATAGCCCAGAATAAACCCACACATGTATGGTCAACTAATCATTGACAAGGTGCCAAGAACATACAATGGCAAAGGGTAGTCTCTTCAATAAATGGTGCTGGGAAAATTAGATATCCACATGCAAAAGAATGAAACTGGACCCCTATCTTGCACCACTCAGAAAATGTAACTTAAAATGGATTAAAGACATTAAAACCTGAAACTTGTAAAATTCCTAGAAGAAAACGTGGAGAGAAAACTCCTTGTCATTAGTCTTGGCACTCCTATTTTGGATATGACACCAAAAGCGCAGGCAACAAAAGCAAAAATAAACAAGTGGGACTACATCAAAATAAAAAAGCTTCTGCACAGCAAAGGAAACAGTTAACAAAATGAAAAGGCAGCCTATGCAATGGGACAAAATATTTGTAAACCATATTCTCTGGTGAGGAGTTAATATCTAAAATATATAAGGAACTCATGTAACTCAGTGGCTAAAGAACAAATAATCTAAAATGGGCAAAGGACCTGAATAGACATTTTTCCAAAGAATACAAATGGCCAAGAAGTACATGAAAAGATGCTTAATATCAACCTCGCGGTCATTAGGGAAATGCAAATCAAAACCACAAAACCGCACGTCACATCTCTTAGGATGACTGTTATCAAGAAAACAAAGGAGAAGTGTTGGCAGGAATGTGGAGAAAAGGGTAACCCTTGTACACTACTGGTGGAATGTAAATTGGTGCAGCCATCATGGAAGACAGTATGGAAGTTCCTCAGAAAATTGCTAATAGAACCACTGTACAACCCAGCAGTCCCACTTCTGGATATATATATGAAGGAAATGAAAACAGGATCTTGAAGAGATAACTGCACTCCCATGTTCATTGCAGCATTGTTGACAATAGTCAAGATATGGAAACAACCTAAGTGTCCATTGCTAGGTGAATGGAAAAAGAAAATACAATACATAGAAAATGCAATACACATGCATGTGCACACACACACACACATATATAAAGGAATATTATTCAGCCATAAAAAGAGGGAAATCTTCCCATTTGCAACAACATAGATAAAGCTGGAGAGCATTACGCTAAGTGAAATAAGCCAGACAGAGAAAGGCAAATACTATATGGTATCATGTAAATGTGGAATCTTAAAAAAAAAGTCAAATACATCGAAACTGTAGAATGGCGGTTGCCTGGGACTAGGGGTGGGGAAAATGGGGAGATGTTAGTCAAAGGGTCCAAGTTCTGAGGATCTAATGTACAGCGTGGTGACTGTAATTAACAATATTGTATACTTGAAATTTGTTAAAAGAATAGATCTGAAACATTCTTACCAAAAAAAAAAAGTATGTGAAGTGGTAGATACGTTAATTAATTTGATTGTAGTAGTTGTTTCACAATGTATGTGTGTGTCAAATCACATTGTACACTTTAAATATATATAATTTTATTTGTGAATTGAATTATACCTAAATAAAACTACATAAAATAGTACCAATTACAAAAACTATAAGAAATAAAAATAAACAGTTCTGCTATTTGTGTCAAAAAAGGAAATAATATTAATTTTGTAAGTGTGATAATAGTATTGTGTTATATATTGTATCTCTTAGAGGTATATGCCATTGAAGATACATACACATTTATAGGTGAAGTGATTTGATGACCACAATTTGCTTTAAAGTACTCCAGTATTTTTTTTTGCTTTAAAGTACTCCGAAAAGTGAAAGTGGCAATGGCATTGGTGAAACAAGATTATCTAACTTTTGCCAGTTGTTGGAACTGACTGATGGTTATATGATGAATCATATGTCTTTTTGTCTTTACTTTTGTGTATTTGTTTGAAATTTCCCATGGTAAAAATTCTAGAAAGAAAAATCAGTTTTCCTTATACAGCAATTTGTATAAATACTTATGCTATTAAATGATGAAAACAGGATATAAAATTGTATATATGTATACAGCTATGAAGAAAAACAGTGAAATTGAAAAAATACTAATTTTGCTTGTGTTAAAATGCCATCACAAATTACTTTTTATATGCATAACCTCTAACCCAGTTAAGTATTTTATAATAAATTTTTAAAAGGCCATCTATATTGTAGTGACTGTATGCTAAAAATAGCTACATTTGTACAATCTGGTTACATAGTCTCTTTTTGCAGAGCTTTTATGTTAAAAGCATAACTAGTTTGAAAACTTGATACCATTTTTAGGGTTCTGTGAAATTTTATGGGTGTGTACTTAGGGATTTAACAAGGATATAATGTTAGTGAAAGGCAATGCAAAAAATAATTTTTAGTCTCTTAAATGATCACTTCATCAAAATGTCTTACAATGATGAGAACATAATGAAATACTTTAAAAATATGCGAAAATATTTAGCCATCAACCTGGAACTCTCTTAGTTTTACGACATTTTACCTTGAAAAGTCAGCTATCATCTGTTAAATTGTGGAGATAATAGAAGAGAAAAATTGACTCCATATTAAAGATTGATGTATGTTTTTGAAGATTATTTTCTTTTCTCGGGCCAAATAATGATAAAAGCTGTTGTTTTTTTTTTAGGAAGGTGGAGTATTTACTTTTGGAGCTGGAGGGTATGGTCAGTTGGGTCATAACTCTACCAGTCATGAAATAAACCCAAGGAAAGTTTTCGAACTTATGGGAAGCATTGTAACTCAGATTGCTTGTGGAAGGTAAGCTATTATATAGAAAAGTAGTTTGGTCTCTATGACACAACTGTTTAGGTTTTTTTTTTTTCTTATAGTCCAGAGGACTTTTATTTTTTTACACTGATGTTATGCCATGAATTCATGGAGAATGGATTCCAGCAGCTCAGGCTCCTTTCCATTGGTTCTCACAAAGTGTCCTTCTCTGGCTGGAGCAGTCTGGTGCTTCAGTTGAACACAAGTACCTTTCTCTTTGGCTTCTTTTTTTTTTCCTGATCATTTTCCTGGAAGCTATCTCAGCTCTCAGAGTCCTTTATATGCTCAGTATGAACATTAATTCTCTTGACAAGAAAATCTTGCCCTTAACTTGTTTGTTGACAATAATGCCAACAGCATGCTGGGTAACATTGTAGACTCTTCTGGTTTTGCTGTGATAACATTTGTGGGGCATTCATTTTTGAACAGTGCCCAGTTTCTTGATATCTACAGTATCACTTTTCTTGCAGATTCACAAGTATGTGGCTGAAGAAACAACTCCATGTTTTCTAAAAGATGTAGAGAACATACAGGGATGTCTCTCTTCTTTTCCTTTGTGTTGGTCATTTTTGCAAATTACTAGAAGGTGGCAGTTCCACCTGAAAGTAGGGATTTTTTTCTTAATGAATCTAGTAATCTAAAATGAAAAACATTGTCTCCTGAAGGCCTAGTTTGCTGCTAAGGAATCATAGTAACCGGAGAAACATTTTATGCTGATTATTTTGTCTTTCTCTCTTTGAAACAGATTTATCTGAGGCAAGATAGTGATAATGTATGTGTAACGTTGTATTTATTGTACATAGCATTCACACTTAAAGGGAAACTATAGATCATCGTTTTTTCTTTTTTACCTTTTTTTCTTTGAAGAATGAGGAAATTTACCAATTAATTATTTAGCAGATAAGATGAGTTAGCGGTGAAAGTTGAATTAGAATACTGATGTCCTGATTCCTAGTTCTTGGGAGTAAATTAAAGAGTCAGAGCTTTGAAATTGAACTTCACTTTTGGTGGGTTAAATTAGGTAGACTCCCAAGAAGCAAAATTTACTTTGCTTGACTAACACAATTTTGACCACTTAGATTAATTTTTTTCCATCTAGTCTGTATTCTTAGACAATATATTTAGTTTTGCCAACTGTTAACTTCAAATACATGGACTCACACTATAGGTAGCCTTTGTTGGCTTTTTTTCATTTTTAACATCATGCTTGTTTGATTATCCATAGATGTGTAGCTATGGTCTTCCATCATTAGTTCTCATTGTTTTGTTTTATTCAATTACATGCGATTATAATTATTTACTTATTCTGTTACTGATGGACATTTGGGTACTTCCAGTCTTTGGCAATTACAACTAATGTTATTTTGAACATTTATTATATGATATATATGTATTTCTAAAGTATATACTTAAAATGGAATTGCTGGGTCATAGAGGATACTCAATTTGAATTTTGCAGGTTAATGTTACCCTGTTTACGAGAATAGTTATGCCAGTTTACATTCCCGTTAGTATTATATGGAAATTCCTGACTCTATATCCTTGTTACCATATGATATTGTCAGACTTTCAAATTTCTGCTAATCTCTTGGATATATAGCATTACTTAATCATGATTTTAATTTGTATTTTCATGATTTCATAGGGATTGCATTGAATCTGTAGATCACTTTGAGAGGTGTTTGACGTCTTAACAATATTAAGTCTTTCAATCTATGAACATGGGCTGTCTTTCCATTTATTTGTCTTCTTTAATTTCTTTCAGTAATATTTTGTAGTTTTTATTGTATATCTTTTACCTGTTTGCTGAAGTTAATTCCTAAGTCTTTTCTTCTTTTTGATACTATTGTAAATGGCATTGTTTCTTAATTTCTTTTTGGATTCTTCATTATTAGTGTATAGAAATGCAACTGATTTTCATATGTTGATTTTGTATCCTGCTGCTTTGCTGAATGTTTTTATTAGTTTTATTAGTTTTTCTGTAGAATCTTTAGGGTTTTCTACATATAAGGTCATATCATGTATATAGAGAGATAATTTTACTTCTTTTCCAATTTAGATGCCTTTTATTTCTTTTCCTTGCCTCATTGCCCTGGCTAGCACTTGCAGTACTGTGTTAGAAGTGGCCAAAGTAGGCATCCTTGCCTTGTTCCTGATCTTAGAGGAAAAGCTAATTATTGAGTATAGTGTTTGCTGTGGGTTTTTCATATATGGCTTTTATTATGTTGAGATAGTTTTCTTCCATTCCTAGATTTTGAGTGTTTTTGTCATGAAAAGGTGTTGAATTTTGTTAATTTTTTTTCTGCATCAATTGAGATGATCATGTGGGTTTTTTTCTTCATTCTGTTAATGTTGTATAGTACATTGATCTATTTGCATATGTTGAACCATCCTTTCATTCCAGGAATAAATCCCACTTGCTTATGTTGTCTAATCCTTCTATTATGCTACTGAATTTGGTTTGCTATTCTATTGAGGATTTTTGCATCAATGTCCATAACGGATAGTGGTCTGTAGTTTTCTTTTTTTTGTAGTACCCCGTGTGGCTTTGATATCAAGACAATGCTGGCCTCATAGAATGAGTTGGAAGGTTTTCACTCCTCATCAGTTTTTTGGGAAAGTGTGAGAAGGTTTGGTGTTCTTCTTTAAATGTTTGCTAGAATTCACCAATGAAGCCATCTGCTCCAGAGCTTTTCTTTGTTGGGAGATTTTTGATTATCTCATCAATTTCCTTACTAGTTATAGGTCTGTTCTGGTATTCTCTTTCTTTATGATTCAATGTTGATAGGTTTTGTTTTTCTAGTAATTTGTATATTTCGTCTAAGTCATCTAATTTATTGACAAATACTGGTTTATAGTACTCTCTTAGGAACCTTTTTATTTTGACAACATTGGTAATAATTTTCCCATTTTCATTTCTGATTTTAGTAATTTGAGTCTTCTCTTTTTTTCTTAATCAGTCTAGCTAAAGTTTTGTTGATTTTGTTGGTCTTTGCAAAGAACCAACTTTCGGTTTTGTTGACTTTTGCTGTTGTTCTATTCTCTGTTTCATTTGTCTTAGCTCTAATTTTTATTATTTCCTTCTGCTAGCTTTGGGTTTTATTTGTTCTTTTTTTTTAGGTCCTTAAATTATAAGGTTAGGTTGTTCACTTGAGATCTTTCTTGTATTTTGTGTTTATCACACATTATAATTTTCCCGCTTAGCACTGTTTTCCCTGCATCTCATAAGTTTTGATATGTTATATTTTCATTGTTGTTCATCTCTTAAGTCTTTTTAAATTTCCCTTAGGATTTCTTTGATTCATTGGTTATTTAAGAGTGTGTTGTTTAATTTCCATAAATTTGTGAATTTTCCAATTTTCTTATCTTAATGATTTCTAATTTCATTCCGTTGTGGTTGGAGAAGATACTTTGTATGGTATCTATCTTTAAAATCTATTTAGACTTAATTTTTGGCCTAACATACGGTCTAGCCTGGAGAACGTCCCATGTGCATTTGAGAAGAATGTGTATGTTGTTCTTGTCGTTGGGTAGAGTGTCCTGTTAGATCTAGTTGGTTTATTGTGTTGTTGAAGACCTGTGTTTCCTTACTTATATTCTTTCTGGTTATTCTGTCCATTATTGAGAGTGGGGTATTAAAATCTCCCAACTATTGTAGAACTGTCCATTTCTTTCCTCAGTTCTGTAAATTTTTGGTTCATGTATTTTGATGGTCTCTTACTAGATGCATAAACGTTTTTAATTATTATATCTTCTTGTATTGAACCTTTTGTTAATATATAATGTCCTTCTTTGTCTCTTGTAACTTTTTTTGGTTGAAAGTCTATTTTCTCTGATAACAGTATGGCTACCCCTGCCCTCTTTTGCTTATTTGCATGGAATATCTTTTTCTGTCTTTTCATTTTTGACCTATTTGTGTCTTTGGATGTAAAAGTGAGTCTCCTGGAGCCGGCCCCGTGGCCGAATTGTTAAAGTTCCATGTACTCCACTTTGGCGGCCCAGGTTTGCAGGTTCAGATCCCAGATGCAGACCTACCCCACTCATCAGCCATGCTGTGGAGGCATGTCACATACAAAAAAATAGAGAATTGGCACAGATGTTAGCTCAGGGTTAATCTTCCTCAAGAAAGAAAAGGGGAGGATGGGCCACGGATGTTAGCTCAGGGAGAATCTTCCTCACCAAAAACAAAGGAAGAAAAAAAGTAAAGTGAGTCTCTTGTAGATGGCATATTGTTGGATCATGTTTTTTCAATCCATTCTGCCAATGTCTCTCTCTTTTATTTTTGTGAGAAAAATTGGCCCTGAACTAACATCTGTTGCCAATCTTCCTCTTTTTTTTGAAGAAGAAGATTAGCCCTGAGCTAACATCTGCTGCCAATGCCCCTCTTTTCTGAGGAAGACTTGCCCTGAGCTAACATCTGTACCCACCTTCCTCTATTTTATATGTGGGACGCCTGCCACAGCATGGCTTGACAAGCGGTGCTTAGGTCTGCACCCAGGACCTGAACCAGTGAACCCCAGGCTGCTGAAGTGGAACGTGCAAACTTAACTGCTGCACCAGTGGGTGGACCCCCAATTTTCCTCTTTTTGCTTAAGGAAGATTGTCACTGAGCTAACATCTGTGCCAATTTTCCTCTATTTTATGTAGGACACCACCATGGCTTGGCTTGACAACCAGTGCTAGGTCTGGACCTGGGATCTGAACCTGTGAACCCTGGCCCGCCAAAGTGGAGCATGGGAACTTAAGCATTATGCCACCAAGCCAGCCCCATGCTGTTCTCTGTCTTTTGAGTGGACAGTTTAATCCATTTGCATTTAAAGTAATGATTGAGATATAGGGACTTCTGTCATTTTGCTTTTTGTTTTCTGTATGCCTTCATACTATTTTTGTCCCTCATTTTCTGCATTACTGTCTTCTTTTGTGTTTATTTTTTTCAGTGAATGTTTGAATTCTCTTCTTATTTCCTTTTCAGTATAATCTGTAGCTATTTT